TACTACCTCAACCACCACCGCCAGCACGAGGTCTAGTACTACCTCAATCACCACCGCCACAACAACCACAACAATAATCACTTGTAAAGTTTTCTTTCTTATTTCTTGATAAGACTATGGCTTATTTACTTATCTTTAGATGCTCCAACTGGTATTTATGCTCTGCAAATTCCATCATGTGCTACATGGAACAAAACTGGAATAACGGTGGCTGGTAATGCAAATGCAACACCTGGTAGTGATGCAGCATCTCTCAATGCTCCTGTGGGGATTTTTCTCGATAACAATTACACTCTGTACATTTCCGACCGAGACAACCATCGAATTGTTAAATATGTTGTTAATGCAACGACCGGTGTTGTTGTGGCTGGCACTGGAACTGCTGGAAATAGTGCCAGTCAACTGAGATCGCCGAAAGGTGTTGCCGTTGATCAGATGAGTGCCATTATCGTTGCTGACGGAGCAAATTTTCGAATACAACGTTTTCCTTTCGGTTCCACAGTAGGAACGACAGTCGCTATCAATAGTTCAGCAAATTTAATTGGTGATATGCGAGATTTACATATAGATGTTAATAATAATATCTATATAACAGATTCAGATTACAGTCGAGTTGTTAAATTTTTTCCAGATAATGGAATTGGTGTTATTCTAGCGGGTAATAGTGGAGCGGGTTCTGCAGCTCATCAGCTTCAGGGCTCATATGGAAATTTTATTGATGGTAATGACACGTTATATGTAGCAGACTCTGGAAATCATCGCGTGCAGATGTGGCCAGCCGGGGCAACAAATGGAACCACTATAGCCGGTATCACAAGTACAACTGGTACAGGTTTATTGAGATTGAAGAGCCCCATGCAGGTTATTGTTGATAATAATGGGTATGTAATTGAGAAGTCGAAATGAAATTAGGATGAAATAACTAATACATTAAAATTTGTCTATCAGACAGTTACTCGTGGTATTTTCGTTTGTTGTCATTGTAAGAAATGAAAATGTGGACGCGTTGAAAGAGAATGAGGGTTGAATCTTGACGATAAGGATATAAAAGTGAAATGACTTTTGTTCGGGAACAGATATGATGAATTATTGAGTATTAAGTACTCTCATTCTAACTTTGTATATGCATCAGATGGATGTAACACTATTGTTTGCAAATTGATATCTTAAATTCAGCATAAACTAATTAAATTATTCGTTTTAATCTTGATGATTTCTGTATATTTCATAGATACTACTATATAGCCGATTCCGGAAATAACAGAATTGTTAAATGGACTAGTAATTATGCAGCAGGTGGTACCTGTATTGCTGGTTGTACTGGTTCAGCAGGAAATGCATCAAACCAATTAAATACTCCACGAGACTTAAAATTTGATGCAAGTGGGAATTTGTATGTTAGTGATCGAGATAATAACAGAGTTCAAAAGTTTATGCTTGAAATACCAGCAAATTGTTCTATTAGTAAGTAGAATCTTTAGAAAAATGTTTGAATTATTTTAGAGAAATGTATATTTGTTTCGATTTAGGTGGTTAATCATAATGACAATAACGACTTGAAATATTGAACAAAAGTGTCACTTATTTACTAACTATCGATATCGAACTATACGGTGTATTTGAATTTTTTTTCTCACTTATTTAGTGTTTTTAAAAATATATTTGAAAGAAGTCTCGTAAAATGGTGAAGAATGTGTATAAGTAGTCATTTATCTAATTATACTCTTCCGAATAATGAAGAAGTTCATGTAAACATATGCAATTCAGATGGCATTAATGTTTCCTCAGTTGTCACCGATTCGATAAATGTTTGAGTGATGATTACAGTAACGTAGCATATTTGGATCTTAAAATTTCTAACAACAGTTATGTGATATGCATGGGTGGGTGTGGGTGTGGTTGAAAAGAAAAGAAACACCCACACCCTATTTAAAATAAATTTAGTTTAAGACAAATTAAATTTATTTTAAATGTAAACTATGAAAAAAAAACTTTATTTTAGATATAAATTATGATAATTAAAACTTATTTTTAAATTTAAGTTATGAAAAAATAGTCTAAATTTATTTTTAATTTACATTACTGATAATTTTATTTATGCATTAATTAAATTGAAAGTAAATATAAATTGGCATCCCTACAAGGCCCCTATTGCACCCACACTCATATAATATATTTTAAAAAATTCAATTTCGCCCAGTTAAAATTACAATTTTAATTTTGATCACAACATATACATGACAAATCAGCAGATGTTTCATTCCATGTAATTGTTTTGTTAATGAAACCAATATTAATATAATAGAAGCAATATAGTCATCACAGTGATTAATACAAAAGTCATTGATATAGGAGCAAACACATTATAATTTGCGGAATTATGTGCTTCAGTAAGTAAAAAAAAAAGGTGGGGACACTGAACAAGACTAATTGAAAATGTACACACTACTTGTTAGATGTAATCTGAACCGTCTTACATACTCATCCAAGACCAGTCACTTTTCTTAAAAATGTTGTTCAACTACGTTTGGAATTGCCCAATACTTACGTTCATAATATCTAGTCCGTTTTATCTATTCATTCTATTTAGACTAGTCGAGCAGAACAGAAAAAGTCAAGCGAACGAAGCAAAAACTGAATTTGAATATTTGACCCGACAGTATCCGAGATTCTATGGGCCTTCTAATGGTAAACTACAATTTCATGACAGATAGATACCATTTTAAACAGTTTAAAGATCAGAGCATTGCTTGTTCACTCGATCTATAATTGAAATCAACCAGGGAAAAGCAAATTGGCTAGTTTGAAGTGTCGTTGATAATTTAAAGAACTCATGCTTTTACATGTTTCATCATATTCAGTGTACAAATTTGCAATTATCTTTGCTTCATATCAAAATATGGATTAAGCATATCTCTGGGAAGTAAAGATTTCTACGTTTTTATACTAGAAATGGAAAATTATATTGAAGCATAAAGGCTTACATGAAAATACAAAGTATACTGATTACCTCTCAACAGAAACCGTCTTTTTATATTCTTTAAAATTTATTCGGTTGTAAAATAAATTAGAAATGATTTAGTATAAAAATATTTCCTATTCCTTTATACTATAACTTAATTTTAGTTTAAATTTCGAATATTTAAAATTGAAATAAACTTCAATCAAGTCTTAAAAAATGGGCGTGGGTGTGATTGAAGAGGACACTCACACCTCACACCCGATTGATATCGACAAAATTCGACGAGAGATCGCTATTTTTAACCATCGTTGTCTAATGCTAGTGTCATTCTTTCTCAACAGAGACAAAAACATTTAATCTTTACTGTTTGCTATGACGAAAAAATGACTAAGGCTGGCGATGTATTGTGAAATTACGAATAGCCCAAATCAGTAGTAAATCGAAAAAAACATGAAATCAACGGAGGGATGCTCAAGGATTGAGAAATAGGAATAAATCATGTGAAGAACTTTGCCTTGGATTTTGGGAATGGAAGTAGAAATCGCTATTTCCCAGTTCTTGAATACTACTGAATTATCTTTATTTCTTCAAACAAACTCATGATATTCATATGTCAATATGTTTATTCATAACTGTTGGCGAATCTGGTCGAGGAATGCATCAAGATTTTTTGGATCATTACCAAGCAAATCGGCCAGACGCTTGCGAGCTTTTTGCACAACACCATGCCATAATGATTCGAACGTCTTGAAACGCGTTTCAAGCACGACGATAACGAGTGCTGAGATGAGTATTGAGTTATTCATCTGGATATTGATCGATTGGAAGGTGGCAAGGGGCTTTTCGGTCAAGTGTTTGATAGTCTCATTGTTCAAATCCCAGAGTCCATCGAAATGTTGTTTGCTGATCAGATGACGAACAATGTCTTGATCATTATCGGGCCAGATTTTGTCTGTTTCACGCTTGACCATTTTTGTTGAACTATTGACGGATAATTCATTTGTCATGGACGACGAACGCCGACTAGTCATCGATGGAGCACCACAACAGGATGAGGTATGTGGCCCAGTGTCCGGATAAGACTGCAGATAAATTGGCGAGCTTGAAAGATTTGCCGTTCGTTTTCGGAACAACATTGCAGTGCTATTGTTAGCACTTAGACTGCAGAGCCGAGAGGATTGAGTCATTTGTAGATGTTGATCATCTGCAGAAATTTGAATAGGCACTTCACGTAGGATCATGCCATCATTGCTTTCATTAATTCGTTTCTCCACACCGATAAAGGCCGTATATGGACTTAAGATGTTATATTTGAGAGAAAGTTCAATGATGTGACTCTTTGCATCTTTATTTGTCATTGACAAGCCGTTGAATCGTTCTTGCATCGAGCCCGATCTCGTCGGAAATTTATCGTGTTCCAATTCGAGAATGAGCGCTTTAGCAGCCAGACGAACAATCGTTCGATCATCACTGACACTTGGTACTCGATCAACTTTGGCTATGGCCAATCGATGATGATCATGTTCAGTTTCGAGTTCAACCAAAGGATTATGATCGAACGGAATCGTTTTATCATCATCGACAAGACCGTAGACAATCAATCGATCGTTGACGTATACCGGTGGTGATCGTTTCGGTGCACTTTGTACGTCGACTCCAAGATTCCATTTGATGTGAACGTTGGTGATGCACAATTGAAGAGCCTTGCGCAATTGTTCGCCGACTTGAACATCGACGCTTGTATTCGGTGGAATGAAAACAAATCGACCATTGGTCGATCGAGCAAGACCTTTGACCAGAGATCGGCTGGGCGAGTGACCCAAACCGAATGAAAAGATTCGAGTAGACGAAGTCATCGATCGACACAGATCGAGTACTTGTGCAACATTGGAAATCTCGCCGTCAGTCAGAAGAAATATCTGACGAGCTCGGCCTCGATCAGACGGATAACTTGCAAGCCATTGCAACGGTTGAAGCTGCATTTTCGTGCATGAAATATGAATGAGAAAATATTCGACAATTAAACACTTACCAATTCGGTGCCACCCAAATCGGCCTCCATCGAATCGATGTACTGTTCGGCTTGTCGAGCATTGTCTTTGTTATAGACAACGGTGATCTCGTCAAAGAGAGTTTGATACATCGATCCGAATCGAACAATATTGAAATGACAGTTGACAGGAAGACTTTTGAGAAAGAGTAACATCGCTTGTCGAGCTAATCCGATCTTGTTTTCGCCACGCATCGATCCACTACAATCGATAACAAAGATAAATTCATTGGTTTGATCATTGTTCAAAGTACACTGACGACAGTCGTTTTCAGTAGGAACAAATGCGACCATCACAGCACCATGTTCGACGGCAAGAATTGTGCTATTGCGTTTCTTAATCAATTCAATATCGATCAGAATGTCTCGATTCAACTGTGTATTTTCCTGAGCAAACGTCACGACATAGACATCTGGTTGTGTGAGATCGACTTCGATCGGATGTGATGTCGAGATTATGCGATCGATCGATTGTTGATTTTCAATATGACAACGAAATCCGATTGTGTACGAACTTGATTGAACGTACGACGAATTCGTATTCGCCGGCGATGAAATGCCACCATGATCAGGATTGTAGCGAGGTGCAATGGTGGTCGGTATGACGAATCGAATTGTCGATTCCTGAACAAGATCCAATTCGGTGACATAGGCAATCGTAATTGTGCATTCGTTTGACGGTAACAATGCGCCAACGTTGACAATAAAATTATCCAGTGATTTCTCATCTTGTTCCAACAAATAGGCTCCATGACCTTGTTGTAAAGCATTGATATACTCACATTGTGCTTCGTTCTTTTCTTTCAATTGAGCAATTATTTCTCGATCATTAATGCGAGCAACAAACGAGTAGACTGCTGCTTGTTCTTCGATTGGAAAACAGTAGACAGCTTCGATCGGTGTGTTTTCTTCGTTTCGAAACACCTGCGTTATGCTCACATTTGCAGCAAACGAACGAATCGTAGCTTCAATGTTGACTCGCTTCAAAGGCACTGTTGATGCCTGATGTTCGCGATTGTCTGTTGTTGCACGTTTAATTCGAAGCATTTTTTTTTATAAATGTCGATACGAATGAATACAGATCTAGATATACAGGTGATTCATTCTCTGAGTCAATATTTCACGAGATAGAAACAAAAAATGAGAAGAAAAAACAATGAATAATGCACGATAACAGGTCGCCGTGTTGGTCATACGGTTGATAAAAAAAAGTTGCTCTGCTTGTGTGACTCATATACAACATAAGAACGTGTACAAAGGTGAGAAGGAGCATTAGTCATCATCTTGAGTGTGTGAGGACGTGGATGTTGATGAAATGATACGTGTACACTCACACCCATTGGCAACTATTTACGATAGATAACTATTTGAAATGTTGAATTTGTGTGTATCGGTTTATTCTAAATTGGAATTCGACAAGAAGATAATAGAAATATGATACAGAATAGAATACAAGATGCGGGTGTGGGTGTAGCTGATAATGTTCTCTTTTCCATGCACATACCTACACTCACACTCATACCCTCAAGATCGAAAATCCTACTATTTCTTCAAAATTTAAAATTTAAAATGAAAATAAAAATAAAAAGTTTTTCTCTATTACTGCATTATTGTCTTATTTAATACATATAAAAAAATTTTTCTGATTTTTCTCAAGTTACATCTATATTATATATGACGATTGATTTAGCGGTTTAATTAACTTGAGTTTTTCATTTGGTTTATAAAGATGAATAATGTACAGTATGAGATATTCTTATCGTTAAGAAACATGTGTGAATGAATGAAAGAAAGAAACAATAAATTATAGAGAAATCTAACTATTTTTGGTAGATTATATTTAATTCTCACGTAGACATGTCTCTAGTTAATAATCAACAACGACATAATCATGCGTTTTCAAATATAAAATTAGGAATAAAACGTTTATAAATAATACATATATTTGATAAATTTTTTATTTTTTTAGAAACATTGAGTAAGAAAGAAAAAGTGAGAAATAAAATGAATTTTCTATCTAATTCAACTTTTTTATTTTATATAGAAAATCAATAAATTCCATCGGAAAATTTCTCTAACAAACTTTTTCCACGAAATTTTTGATTATATGGACACTTGCGATTTATTTCAAAGATTTTCAAGTTTGAATATTCTTTTTGAAAATCTTCTTATAAATCCATACTTTCTTCTAAAAAATCAATTTTCATCTCAATTATGTTAAAAAATCGAATATAGTTATAAACAATTCATTCATCTAAATAAAAACATCGTATTATTTCATTTAGTTTTAAAAAATTCATGACATTATCTACTATTGATTCATCATTTAATCATCTTCAATCAATTATTCTTAATCGAATTTCAACATTTAAGTGTATCGTAATGCTTTTTTATTTAAAATCTTTATCTTGTCTCTTTTCTTTGAGTATTTATTTTGATCATTGTTGTGATAATATTGAAGATATTTATCGTCTTGTTTTTAATTTATCTTTATTTTAAATTGGAAATGTTAGATTATCAATTATCTAATTTCAATATTCCAGTTTGAATAAACGAACACTTTTCTCCTATTGGATATTTATCTATTTTTCATTATCTTAATCTCGATCAGCTTATTCATTTACTTACTTATATATCTCAAATTACTCATTTTATATTTAACCCTTGCTATACACAATTTGGAATTTGAAGAATTTATTGTCAATCTAGTTTCTCAATTGAGATTATTAAATGTTACAATTGAATGTTTCGATAAAAGTTATTTAAATAGTAAACGATGGAAAACTTTAAATGTAGAACATATACCATATTTAATCAAATTTATATTGTCTTATATGGATTATATTGATGGTGATGATGATGATTTTGAAATAAATGATCAACATGCTTTAATCAATCATTTTACATCATAATTTTGGATAAAAAAATCAATGGATATTCAGATTTATAATTGAAAATGATCAAATTATTTATGGAATTTTTCCGTACAACTGCATATTATGAGGGTATTTGTATAAACCACGACTAACCAGGCTTTCTCAATCAAGTACTCTTAAGATTTTGTTCAATTTAAGATATTATTGTCACGAGAAGAGTTTTATGAATTTTGTGATTTCTACTTAGGAAACAATTTTCAATTGAAAATATTGAGTCTTTAATTATTTATGACTGATATAACAGAAGCTAAAAAAAAAGTATTCCTCTTTTGAAATTGAGCAATAGCATATTCTAAGAAACACAAAAATAACAAAAACTGAAATGACATCCAATTGTTCTAAAGTTTATAATCATCATGTTCATTGTTACTCGAATGGACACATTGATATAGTAATATTAGAGAGAATGCAACATTCTGATATGAATCAGTGTATCTATCAATGGTAATGCGTAATTCTATCTTCTGTCGTAAATAATGGCTTGCTAACATGTATGTATTTTATTGAGAATTCTGCAATTCACATGGCCTCGAACTCAGAGAAAATGAACCATTAGGAATGCTTACTTGTAAACTTAATGAAGAATTGATAAGTCTTTACTCTGTGGACAAGCTCAATGATTTAAAAAGATTTAAAATTTTATTAACATAATTCACACTTTTATTTAATCAACACTTAAAGTTTGCTTTTAACTTCTCCTTGTTGATAAGAAAATTTATGATTTATATTAGGACGATGTTTTTCTTCAGCTTGACTGTAATCTTGAAATGGCGAATCGCGTTCTTTTACTGCTTGTTGAACACCGAATCGAGTAGCTGTTGTCACAAACTGCATGGCTTCAGGTGTATGACGCATAGAACCATCCAAAATACAACCTAATAATTGTGTAGTATGTAATCCTTGATTTTCATATACTTGATTTACCATTAACTTCATTGTAGCTAATTGTGTCACAGGAATTTGAGCTAGTTTTTCACCTGTCTTTAATACTTCGGCCTCTAATTCGTTAAACGGTACAGATTTATTAATTAAATTAATTTCAGCTGCTTTTTTTCCTGTGAGAGCTTCGCCAGATAAGGCTAATTCTTTACATTTTGTTAATCCCAAACGATGAATCCACATGCCTGTTAAATAAGCTCCCCATATCCTACTATAGGGAGTTCCAATAATAGCATCATCAGCAGCAATAATAATATCAGCACATAATGCCATATCGCTGCCACCACCTACACAATAACCATGAATTTGAGCAATGACAGGTTTAGGTGAATACCAAATAGACATGAATCTAGCAACTGGACTTGTTAATTTTGATGTAGTCAACATCATATCTACTCCAGGATTCCAATTCTCCATTGAATTACGTAAGTTTGAAGGAAGAGTAGCTAAATCATCACTAAAATCAAATCCTGCACAAAATGAAGTACCATTACCACGAAGTATTATAATTTTTACTGAATCATCATGATTTGCTCTAGTTATTGAATGTTGCAATTCAGAAGGCATTAAAGGTGAAATCGTATTTAATTTTTTAGGTCTATTAAAAGTTATAAAAGCTAATGGTGAAGAAACATGATAAAGTAATGTTTCATAAGTTGGAGATGGATTTGTTAAATGCGATGGAATACTCCAAAGTTTTGTATTATCAGGAGATATTTGTTGTTTAGTAACATTTCTCATGGTCACTAATTTTGAACCGATAATTGATATTTTCGACCACCACTGATCAACTGAAAATGAGAGATTATAAGTTTTTACATAAAACACGAAATTTATGTCCAAACTCATCCGCCTCTGTTTTTTTACAGAGATCTCCTAAGGGCATATACAATTTTTGGTTCTAAGGCTAGAAAGAAATGATCAATGAACATCTGTTGATGAGCATATGACTGTCTACTCTATTTATACATGATGAAACATATCTTGACTTCTAATAGATTCAAAAGTGTAAGAATAAATTAGACTTAAAAGTGAGACTAGAATGTAGTGCTCACTGAGGTAACTTGATATTTTTGCTAGTTTCCATCTCATCCTGATAGACAATCCATATTCTCTATTAGGCAAGCTCTACAGATTTTCAATGAGAATATCTTACTTTCAGTTCTCAAACAAAACTTTTCGTGCACATGATTTGCTGTGGGGTGTCGTTTAAATTACGAATTTCTTAACATACTCACTTTTTTTGAAAAACGAATTCATGTTTTTATATGTGCATATATTGTTAGACACGACCTTGTATTTTAGCTGACTTCATATGAGAATAAAAGAAAGAAAGAAAGACAATAAAGAAGAGAAAGACAATGATGACTCAATATATAGATAAGAAAGAAATAAAAAAAAAACGATATCAGAATTGAAAAAATGTACAAGTGCGACATCAGCGTAACAATGATTCAGTTACTTTTCTTTTCCATTCAATATCAAAAGCTTCATTTACTCTTGTCTTATCTAATTCTTTCAACACCAGCAAGTTTCTTTTGCAGAAACAGTAACTTATGTACTTTTTCGGTATCAAGTCTAGTGAGTCTATAACTTATTGCAACGGATGGATCAGAATATATTAAACTGTTTGTATTTTTACTATTTCGTTGTTTTTATCACTCGCAATGAAGGGTGTGGATGTTGCCCTGTTCTTCAACAATGCACCTACACCCACAAAAATTTACTGAACTTAATGTAAATGTTGATCCTACATAATAGCATGATATTTTTCTCTCTTTCACCTTGACTTATTTGAAGAAAGACTTGAAAAAACAATCATTACTATATACTGCAATCTGATCCGTGTGAAAAAATTTTCTAATTAAACGATTTTATAAAAGTTGATGTTACTTTTTCAAGCACAAATACGCGTTAATAGTTCGCGAAACCAACGCGTTTTCATGACCGAAAGGCTAAAATCTTTTTTTCGTTGAATCATTAGATTTTTAACAACTTTTCACCTGATAATTTATTCCAAAAAAAAACACACGTGAAACAAAACTTAAAATACGCAAGCTGATCTGTACAGCAGTACTCACAATTTTTCATACACTCTTATTGACTATATATATGATCAACTTCCTTCAATGATCGGTATCCTTTTATGTCTCATTCGTCTGAACACTAAAATCTAGCTAATCAATTCGATATTAGATATACTTTATAATAAGATACTCAAAGAACCTCTTATTATCACTACAATTATTCCATAATCGATATGAACAGTAATCAGCCGATAGAATAGTTTTGTTTTTTGGACAGAAATCTCAAAATTTAAACAAATCATATCTTAAATTTCTATTATTTTGCATGTTTATATGTGTTAGAAAGCTGTATCATAGTATCGAAGAAATTATAAAACTATAACTCCTTTAATATTTGAAATATGGACAAAAGAAAAACAAAAATTATTTTATTTTCTGATTACTTCTGTTATCTTTTACAAAATAATCTTAATGATAATAAAGCTTTCTTAAGCAGCTTATTACAAAGTTCATTCAATATTGAATTGGTTAGCTAAAGTTTACTCTTCAAACGAATTTAATATCCACAAATATTTCTCTTTCTATTGTTCAATTTTATTTTACATGATGTTTCATCAATGACATGGACTTTTTCAGACTTTACTTAGCATAAAAATATGCATCAGAGGATGTGATGGGGTGATGTGAGTCTTATCTGAATCCACATCCACACTCACACCATCTAAAATCAGCTTGATTATATTTTAAATTTCAAACTTTTATGAATTCTGCATAATAGTTTTTTTTCAATCAAATTTCATTTCTATGATGTTTTGTTGAAATATTCTTCCCCAAATCTTCATTGGCAAAGGGAAATTTTATTGGTACACTTTGAATTTGAAAGCACACAACAAGTATATATTTTTTTTTGAAAAAAATTCTTCTTCGTAAAAAAAAGAATAAAAGTATGTTGCCATGTCTCAATTAAAAACATTTACTATGATAAGTTGAAAAGAAAAAAAAAAATCTTTGTTCGACACTTGAAAAGATGATCCATACACAAGGATGAAATATTTTTGCTTTCAAGAAAGATCATTTTGAACTTCCCATATTTTGTTCTATTAAAATAAAATTTACAATTTTAAATTAATAATTCTTATAAAAATACAAACCATAATTATACATAGACACATCCATTCTGTTAGAGGACATATTCAATGGAGAATCTGATTCATCAATACTTGAATCATCGAAAGATTCGAACATAAAATCACTATTACAGTTTGAACATTTATTACCTAGAGAGAAAAAATGAAATTTCGAGTAAGTTAAAAATAAAGTTATTTACATGATTCATAGAGAAAATTAACACGAGCAATTTCCTCACTATTTTGAATAACAACAATAGTAACTTTTATTCGTTGATTTTCAATTGCTTGTATTGGACATGGTGGACTTCTAAATGCAATTGTTTTTAAATCTACGAATTCTACAGGTATATGATTAGTTTTGTTTATTGTCGAATATTCAAAACACACTTGACATACTTAAAAAAAAAGGCAATAGATTTGTTTCAACAATATTGAACAAAAACAAAAAAGATTACTTTTCTTTTTATCAAGTTTTGGAATAAACATCAAAATTTCATCGCCACCTAACCAATTACCTTTCTGCGGTACACACCTAGCAAATGACTCATCATCGTTTGTTGTTGCTGTTTTTCTAATAGCAGTCATTATTTTAGAAAAGACAGATGTTGCATCATATATAACAGGTAATAGTGTATCATTAACTAGTTCAGCTATAGAAAAAAGTAATTGAGATCTTCCTAATTGATAAACATCCATTAATTTTCGAGCATCATATAAATCATTTGCACGTTGAATATCTCTTGTATCTAATACAAAAAAAAGAAAGAATAATAAATCAGTAAAAAAGACTTCTATTTTAATTTTATTATATTACTTTTGTTTAAAAGATATAATGGACCATAATTTCGTAATTCGTATTGAGCTAATTTTCTTAGAATAATTCGAAAACTAAATCGAGAAAATTATTTAGAAAATATTTCTTTTCGTATTTTACCTCTTTTGACCATTATTTAATTCTTGTTCTGATACTGGAAAAAAAAGTGTATTTGTTTCAACATCTTTGATAACATTTAATTCTGGAGTATCAATCGGATAAGGATGTATACATGTCACAGGTACTTGTTCAGTCGGTACGGTGACTAAAGTTACACGAATATATAAACGTTGACTATTCCATTCCTTTGGTATCTAGTTAATCAACATTTTATAAATAAATTTTACAAAATTTTTTTTTTCTGATTTCGTTTACTTCAATTGTCGGATAATCTAAATCATATGAATTAGTATCAGCACGAATGAATCGCATTGCTTGATTACGACTGCGATCTGTTTCACATCCATATCTTTCACGATGTGATGCTTTTGGTTCAGCTATAATACAAATTCGTGAAATACATTCCGCCATCTATTCCGAACAAAGTTTGTATAACAAAATAATTAGAATTATTGTGGTTCGATTTCTTCGATTTTTTAATAGTCTAGCCATATATAGTGTCAAGCATACAGTTAAATTGACTTAGAATATGAATAACCTATTGATTACAAGGTTATTTACCAGCTGGACTTCAAGTAAACTCTACTTACTTTCATTGGATGCAATATTCCTTCGTGCGATAGGCTTGTTCTTTTTCCATGCAGCTCTGAAATTTCCATAGTTTGTTAATAATAGTTTGTCACATTCTTGTACAATTTATTACTAATTAATCATAGGGATGAAATTTTATGTTTTTTCCCTGATAAATATACTCAGACAAATTTACTGCCTTCTTATGCAAATAATAATAACACAACATGTTACAATGTCTTGCATTTACAATTTCACTTTTTTTCTGTTCTGTAAGACACATGGTATTCAACTGCAAGGAGCTTATTAACGAATCAACATCGATGTAATTTTGTCAAGAAAAAACAACATTGACATGCGTGGATGTGGATGTGTTTTGTGGCTTTTGTCACAACCCACACCCACACCACCACCCCATATTACCATAATTTGGAGATATTTTTCCCGCTTTTTAATTCTCGCAACATTTGTGTTTTAGTTGAAATAGAAGTTGATGATAAACAATCGGAACATGATGACTATGACGAAAAAAAAACAAAGCATTCTTGATTTAGCAAAAAAAGAAACGGGCAGAATTGAACATGTACTATGATAGTTTTCCAAATATTGATGATGTTATTGATAATACAAAATCTGGCATAAATGAAGCAAAAGAATTTACGGAATCAATCTACACAGTTTATCATCAGGAGAAATAAACGAAAGAAGTACTGCGTGTTATGTATTGAAGAAGCTTCTTGAAAACCGAAATTTATCATACTTATTTTTCGATTCTATTCATGATGAAAGTCTTCATGATGCATTCGGACCTATGAATGAGATAGACTCAGAAGGTAGGCCATTTGTATTGCAGCTGAACAGTGGTGAATGATTAGGAAGCAGTATAGAACAAAACCTGAACACGCTATGATAAGGGTATGGGTGTGACTAAAGAGAAAATAACACAGACATCCTTCTTTTTCTTCACTTCTCACTCCCTCTAATATATTTTTTCTTCTGTATCATAGATTTGTTCAGCAAAACTTATTTGAAAAGATACACAAAATAAAAAATGAAATGGATGAATACATCGAGATACTCAGACATCGATTACATTCAAACAATTTACCCTCAACCTACAATCTTCTCGATCATTCAATTGGCAATATCGAGAAAATGCATGCTAGTATACAATCTACTGCTATTGATAAAAGTACACAAACAACATTATCTAAATGTGATATGCTTACTCTAACTATGGCCACAGATGAAAAAATTGTGCGCAGTATCGATAAACAGATACACGAAGAGAAGAAAATGTTCTTTACTATCGGTAGTAATAATGAAAATAATCTACCACTAGCATCATGATCATCAACCGAATCATTGGTTCAGTCAATGGCATGAGTCGTCGATCAATCGATGAAATTATTGAACAAGAATACAAGGAACTACAACAACAAATTTATGACAATTTATTCAAATATTGTATAGCATCATCAGATAGCGAGCTATAAATCATTTTGTCTCCGTAAAACAGCTACTTTAACGGCTCTACACTACACCATTATCATGTAGAGTGACAGCTCGTGTTCAATACAATCAAAATATGGTAAAATACATTAAACGGCGCTTAGAGCAATCAAATATTATTGTACGACCAACAGATAAAAGCAAAGTATTTTGAACGAAAAGCATATGAATATATGGCAAGAACAAATCCGTATCAAGAGATCACCAGTAGTAGGTTCCATTAGCCGATAATTTAGATGCTGTGATAACATTACTTGATTTATTGTTTAAAAATGAAAGAATCATCAAAGATCAATTTAAGAAAATAAAAGATTTTTTAAGAAAAAAATTTTTCGAAAAAATATGGCTGTGGGATCTCAGTATTTTTTCGAAGAATATGTTGAACTACATATCATTCGATATTGTTTGATGCGCTGATTTCGAATATTACCTTGGTTTTTCTTCAAAGTGTAACACGAGTACCTAAAACCGGATTTTCTACCAGAGACATCGAGTTTTGGGGCATTCTGTAAAATAGCCTAGGAAAAGTTTCATGAATTTTTGCATCTACTATATGTAGGATACATATGTAGGCGCATGGAATAAAAATGTGCGCTCGATCGGACGTTATTTCTTTGTAGCGTTTACAATAAACGGAACGGTGCGTTTTCTGAGAGGTTTTGGGGCTCAAGATCCTTTATTTTCTACTCGATTTTTAATTGCACTACGATATTTTTTTATCATAAAGTCCATAGGTGAGCAAGTTTTTTGCGATATTGTTTGCTTGTGAAATATTGTGTTATTTTGCCGAGCGCCTTGACCTTCTTTATTTATGTCGATTTCTGGATCCAAGTCTTGTCAGATTCTTTTTCTAGGGCTCGATAAAACTTTGAGAACTGCTATCTTAGGAAATAATAGATCACATGTGTATGTATCTACGCAAACGGTTAGATTGCATTCTACACGCATTATGTAGAACATTGGACTCCGCTGTAATGCAGATATGAAAGAGAAAGTTACATTAGTTTTCTTGTTTGCGCAATTACGTCACATAGTGTTGACTTGACTTTTCTTGCATTCTGATAACGAGCATAGTGTTGCACTTTTATCTATGATTAAATTTGTGCGCTGGTGTCCTTTTTGGCAAGAGCAAGCGCATATTATTTTTTTCCATTTATACTCTCCACATTCTTTGGAGGGGCAGAAAAATTAACTCTTTCTTATATGAATTGTCGACATATGCAAACAACTGAAAGAATAGAGAACTTTTCGAACGGCTAATGTTGATTATTTGTGAGTCACTCTTCTTTCTAGTTGTATCAGACATATTGCAATCGAGAACAGAAGAAGAATGTAGCAATGGCAACAGCAGCTATTGTATGGCCTACATAAAAAACAACAATCTCGAAGCATTCTCTCTCATCTTGCTCAATACTTTGATGAACGAGACTAAGAACAATATCGATACCGAACAGCTACTTCGTTTTAAATTGTTTTGATTGTCAGCGGTCGACGCGGTCGAGAAGTAGTTCTTCGTATTCATCAACTGCGACAAGTTGCTACAATTTATGTATATTCCATAAATAAGAAGAAGGGCAAGAAATGGACTGAATAATTCCCTAAGGTAAACAATACCTTGTGGAACAACCAATCATTGTTTAAATCACCGTCATATGTCCAAAGAAAGATGAAAATTCTAGGCCAACTTTCCTTCCTCACAGATATAGAGCAACATCATGACACTTCAACTCATCTGTGCAGAAGCCCAAATGCAGGCAAGGTGAATTAGAAATATCCCGAAAGTCTCATTAAGTCTCAGATTAGTACATATGCTGCGTAAGAAAAAATAAAAATATCTTTATCATGCCAATGAGTTTCCGTATATATATATATGTACCTAGTCTCGACGCTCATCGGAAGAACTTGATCACGTCCGCTCTCTCTTTTTTTTTCTTATGTCTAGATGTTACCATTATTGCTTCAAACAACCACTCAATGGAAACGTTCTCTCTTTGAATGGAATAGCATCTAGTTTATTGTTTAATAATGTCAAAATGCAGGGTTTGCTCATTTTCATGTCCATTCATTGCAGTCACCGTCAAGAGAGTTATGATATTGAACGCGTTCAATACTCTCGTCAATTATCCTGTGTAAATTTACGAGAACAAGATTTAAACTGCAATCGATGTTGAATACTATCGGGGATCGCCGCTCAAATGATAACACATTGTTTTGGTGATCATTATTGGACGAAATTCATCATCTTCTCGTCTTACAATAATAAATATATCAAGTACAAGTTCTGTGCATGTGTATTTTCTAATCCTCAATAACTCTATCGCATCGTATTCTCAAATATAGACAAACATGTATTCTCACACAACTGTACATTTTAAAATAAAAAAAATCATCAATTAAAGTTGATCAAACAATACTGAAATCTTTGATGGATATTTTTCATCTTCTCATTCTAGATTGATCAATGCAGAGTGGTCGAGTGTGTATCGTAGGTGGCGGTGCCTCTGGTCTTGTGTGTGCACATATTCTTGCCTTAGATTACAATTTTGAACCTACTATTTTTGAGCAAAATGCATTTATCGGTGGTCAATGGCACTATGATCCGGATGCAACTGTTGGTACGTCAGCAGTTTATCGTGACATTCGCGTGTATACAAAATGGTCTGTCATGCAATTTACTGATTTTCCTGATCCTAACAGCGGAACTAAGTCACATATCAGTTGTACTGAAATGGAAGAATATTTGATTGCCTATGTTAAACAATATCATCTTCACAAATATATCCTTCTTAATACTAAAGTTCAGTCAATTGATGAATCATTTACGGTTACCTACGCTACGCGCCTTGATTCCTCTCAACAAGAACAACAGCTACCTGTGCGTCCTCATCAAATTTTGTTGAAAAAAAGCGATGATTACGCAATTTATTCGGAGAAATTTGATGCGATATGTGTAGCCAATGGTCACAATTCTGAGGTGTTCATTCCTGAAGATATTCCAGGTTTGCACAGTTGTGAACGAACTTTTCCAATCTTACATTCGAAAACATATCGTCGTCCAGAAGATTTCAAAGATCAATGTGTAATTGTCGTTGGTGGTAGCCATTCAGGCATTGATATTGCTGGTGAATTGGCACCAGTAGCCAAACAAGTAGTGTTGAGCATGAAAGAAGACAACAAAATGTTTGACTTAGTTATCAGTTTACTTCGTCGAGGTCAAAAACAATTATGTACCGATTTTCTTACAACAACATTTTCATTTGCACCGGCTATCGAACGTATTGATCGTGATACAGTCTATTTCAAAGATAAGACTCAAATCAAACCTGATTGTCTCATCCTTGCCACTGGATATAAATATAGCATACCTTTTCTTCAGGGTAATTTGCGTGTTGATGGTCGAGAGAAGCATCGCTACGTATATCCATTATATAAACATATGTTTCATGTCAATTATCCTAATGGTACACTTGCTTTTATTAATATTCCCTCTGGTGTTGCTGCATTTCCATTTGCCGAAGTGCAATCACATTTTATAGCACGTGTGTTACGTGGTGAAGTTCAATTACCGTCAAGAGATGTGATGATGTCCGAAGTTGATAATCCATTATTACCACAGAATCCAAAATATCATTTTCTAAATATGATTGACTATGTTCGAACATTGTTAGAAATGATGAAAGAAAGTGACAAAAACTATAATTATATATTTACAATTGATGATGAACGACGAGTTCATAAAATAATCAAAGAATAAAATCGGACAAAAGTATTCTTTTGACTAAATTAATGCAATATATCTATTCTTTTTGATTGTGTAATTTTTCACTTCCTTGTTAATTTCGATATTTTTTCGTTCGTATTCTGGAGATGAATCACGTGCCATTTTTGTTTTCCTGACTACATATGTAAACGGATTGTTTTTTGTTCTAGATGCCATCGTATAGTTCCGATGAGATTCCCCAAATTGAACCTCAATCTCGAATGATGATTGTTACCGAAGTAAATGAACGCATTGAAAAGATTACTGTTCGCAAATTAGCCCGAAAAGATTGATACAAAATTGCAGCTTCACGAAATACGGACAAGGTATATACGACGATCGCAAGCATTCATCAAAATATTACCGTACCTGATGCTCCACTTGATTTTATTCAACTTGATCTTGCCTCGTACACTAATATGTACGTGTATCTGTCGATGAATTTTATAAACGTCAATTGTCTCTTCATCTTCTCATACATAATGCAGGTATTATTACTTCAAATTTTTAACTTACAAAAGATGGTGAAAAATTACAATTTAGCACAAAATTATTTGGGTCATTTTCTTTTGACACATTTATTATTAGATGATTTCCATTCTAATATTTCATCACACATTGTTATTCTCACAAGTCGGACTCATATGCCGTCATTCAAACATTAAATTTGATGATACTATTCGAAATCGATATAGCTGAACTTCTTTCTATTAGACTTGAGCAAATATTATTCTAAACTCAACTGAACTCTCAAGTCATCTGCCACAGATGTAATGACATTCTAGCTTGATTAGTCGATTAAATGATATTAGTAATTGAATTGCAGCAATACAGCATTGCAAAAGAATGTTGATTGAGATATCGTTTTCTGATTAAACATTTCGATATTCAAGATGAATTTCGTACTCGAAATTTTGTTGGTCCTCATTCAATTGTAGATTGTCTTCAACAATTATGATGCTATCAGCAATCAATTTGATCTTGTCCTTTCATTGTTGTTGATCACCTTTGAAAGTAATTATAAATTATTTTAAAATATTATACCTATTACACTTTTGAGTCTTCTCATAAAAAAGAAAACTTCATCTTACCCAATTGAAGGCATGTGATAATAAATGATCATATACAATGATTTCTTAGGAATGAGTTGAGTTATCAATCTAAAAACTTTATTCATTTATTCTAGATAGACGATTAAACTGGAAAATACTAAACTTTGCTTGTTTCAATGTAGATACATAAAACTTAACATATTTGATATTTCAATGTTTTTTTCTCATCTCCATTTTTCTACAGCTTCACGAGCTTTCAGAAAGATAAAAACTACTCATACATTTAATATAATTTATTTAACTATCGATAGTTCCTAACTAACCCTGAATTTTAAACATCGACGAAGAAAAATAAGAGTTATATGTAGAAATAACGAGTTAGACGTAGTTATAAGTAGACAAAAATAGGTAGTGAGTGAGTGCGTTTGAAACTTTCGTGAGCTCGAAAACATTTAATCCGTTTCAGAGATCAGTATTGCATAAACTACTATAACTGCATTTTTTGGAATTTTCGAGAATATCAGAAATCCCTGATGGAAAACTCTTAAAGGATTTCAGATAGTAACGAAATTGGAAATCCTCTAAGAGTTTCCTCAGAAAAGGATTTTTTTAGAATGTAGATTTAATATTATATCATGGTTTATTTCTTTTAAAGTAAATCTGTTATAGTAAATAGTTTTAATTTACAGCATGAAACATTCTCAAAACTTGTCATATGATTTAGGGGTGTGGATGTTGTTTCAAAGAAGATCAACACTCACATCCACCCTGATCAGTGATGTAGGATTTATTGTGTAGTGGAGAAAATCGCGAACATAGCTAATTAAAACATGACTCTATTAGAATGATTTCTTCAAATACTTTCACAATTCGTCTACATTTATTTTGAAAATTACATTTCAGAAATTCAGTGAATTGGACTGAAACCTTTATAATACAGACAGCCTCGAGTAAACAAATGAAATCGTGCCATCAATGTCGGTCGGCAGAAATAACCATTCTACTTATATTGCATTTTTTTTTAAGATGAAAATAACATAGAACAAGAAAAGGCACATTGTTTCTCATTGTATTTATTTCTATCGACAACATGAATTATTCACCTTTCTCTCTCTCTTTCACTCTACGATGTCAACTGACTATTGACTTTCTGACAAGAAAGATGAAAATATAACTTATATCGTCATTTTTTACCTGCTACTCACGCACGCTTTTTCTCTTTTAACTGTTTTTTTTTGGCTTGTATTTAATTGTTCAGTATTTTATTGTCAATGTTCAGTAAATTTTTTATCATATGTTCAGTACTTCTCGTTCAGTAAAAAATTATTTTTCGCTCAGTAAATAATTCAAGAAGTTCAGTAATTTATTTAAAAAGATTCAGTATTTAATTTATTTTTGTTCAGTATTTAATTTATTTTTGCTCAGTTTTTTAATAATGTATTTCAGTAAAAAAGTGTAATTATCATTAACAGAAATTTATTGCATCAGTAACGCCTTTTTGGATTTTGCTGGTCTACCACGACGTCTTTTTTCACCAATTTTAATATTTTTAGCAGCAGGTGGTGGTTTGCAGTAGTTTAATCTAATTGCCATTCCGACAACATGTTTGCACATAAACTTTTTGAAAAATGCTGGACAATTGCACACACCCTCTACCCATTTTAATTTATCTACTGGTAATGTAACAGACCAAATATTGAATGCTTTCTTTTTATATTGATCAAAGGAGTACCATTTCATTTTCTTCACTACATCAATTTCGCCGTTTGTTCCCTCTACTGAAAGGAGGGTCATACACCGAGCAAAGTTCGTATGTTCGTAACTTCGTAACTTCGTAAGTTCGTAAGTTCGTTCGCACAGAACGAAAAAATGTTTTTTTGACCTCTCATATCACTCATCTTACAACAAAAGCCCAATAAGGTTATTTTTGGTCAGGATTTCGACCAATAGGATTTTTTGACATTGCAGTTTCAACCAATGGGATTTCAGGAGAGGGAACAAATCAGCCAATCAGATATCTTTGGCCTATAGTTCGGTGAAGTAAGGTTATTTTTGGTCGGGATTTCTACCAATAGAGATTTTTGACATTGTGGTTTCAACCAATGGGATTTCAGAGGGAGAAGCAAATTAGCCAATTAGATTTCTTTAGCCTGTAATTTGGCCCAATAAGATTATTTTTGGACGGAATTTCGACCAACAAGGATTTTTGACATTGCGGTTTCAACCAATAGGATTTCAGGGAGGGGGCAAATCAGCCAATTAGATTTCATTAGCCTGTAATTTGGTCCAATAAGGTTATTTTTGGTCGAAATTTCGACTAACAAGGATTTTTGACATTGCGGTTTCAACCAACATGATTTCGGGAGAGGGGGAGGGAAGGATAAATCAGCCAATCAGATTTCTTTGGCCTGTAATTTGACCCAGTAAGGTTATTTTTGGTCGGGATTTCCACCAATAAGGATTTTTGACATGGCGGTTTCAACCAATGGGATTTCAAGGGAGGGCTCATCAGCCAATCAGATTTCTTTTGCCTATAGTTTGGCCTATTAAGGTTATTTTTGATCGGGAATTTCGACCAATAGGGTTTTTTGACATTGCGGTTTCAATCAATAGGATTTCAGACAGGGAGCGAATCAGCCAATTAGATTTCATTAGCCTGTAATTTGGCCCAATAAGGTTATTTTTGGTCGGAATTTCGACCAACAAGGTTTTTTGGCATTGCGGTTTTAACCAATGGGATTCCAGGGAGGGGAGACAAATCAGCCAATCAGATTTCTTTGCCCTGTAATTTGACCCAGTAAGGTTATTTTTGGTT